AATTGGTACAAAACAAATAGGAGAGATTGTAAATCTACAACATCATTTGAATTATAAAAGGCATTCATCATGACAATCAGCTCATGAAACCTGTACATGTCACTTGTGCTTTAGGTTTATGTACACAGCTCTGAATACTGTGTTCAGAAAGCCTCACTGCTGAAAAGCATGAAATGTGCACTATGATACAGTGAGTAAAGGCTAAGGAAAATGAAAATCAGAACAAAGCAGGGTCTTTTTCGAGGGCCAAGGCAATGTTGGCATTGGGACTCGAAACCAAAAAAAGGCATACTAGCAGCCCAAATGGGAGGCTCCAGAGAGATGAATTCTATAATCCAAGGGTGGGAATTAAGAGGCCATTACTGGTATAGGGCTAGGCCACTGCCCTGGCTTTGAAGGGAGGAAGGAGGCTCTGATCTCAGCCATGCTACTAGAGAATAGAACTAGTAGCTAGGAAACCACCTCTATATTAAAGTATCTCAGAGGTACCCGAGAGGCCCTGCCACAGTGAGAAACCTGCCTCCACCCTCATCCCAGACACTAGTCATAGGAATAGAGGTCCCAATAAAAGGGGCCGGGGACATTAAGACCAACATAAGAGCAGCAGCCCATTTTAAGACAAAACAAAAACAAAATTGCTGCCTTCTCACCCACTTGAAGGGACAACAGAACTCTGGGTGAGGGGCTCCAGAACAGATCTCAGTCACAGACAATGTACTAACAGTAGAGAAATATGTACATAATAAATAATATAAAACAGAGCATATACATTTGTGAATTTGAAGGACTCCAGAAACAAGGAAGATCAATGGACTGATACACTCTACCTTCACAGTAGACTGCAGACACGGCAGTAATGAGTCAGAAGCTAGGCCGGGACTCTGCAGAGTGAGAGTCCTGAGGCCTTAATCTCCCCACTCCTTTCCGCTCTGGGAGTCAGACCAGCCGTTCCTATCCAAGGAGCCTGACTCCAACACGAAGGCACCCAAGCCCCCTGGTCCATCTGATAGTCCTCTTTAAGGTGAGTTTGAAGAGAAGCCTGGCCCCAAAAGAATCCCTCTCTAATGACTCCACGTCAGTCAGATGCCATAAGCTGGCCTGCCAGAGGAGGCAAGACAGTACTCCCATCATTCTTCCAATTTGGTCATGTTTAAAACACTCCTAGGTATTAAGAATAGAAAACATGTATTCACTCAAGTCATAGAGAACATGCCGGCTCTGTGTACGTCGGAACCTTGGCATACAAATGCCCAGAATTCTACTCTTGTGCCACTAGAACCTTAATTGTCATGTTGCTTCAAGAACAGCCTGGTTATTTCCCAACAAAAGCTATTTAAGACAATTCTAATGAGATGATGTCAGTGGCTCTAGCACATCCTGAGAGAAAGCTTACTGGAGCTGAGCCAACCACTAAGATCTAAGAAGCAAAAAAGGTCCCAGCCCGCCGCTAAAAAGCTGTGGGAGAAAAGCTGCTCCAAGCTCTGCTGTTGCCATGAACTGCCCTCAGGGCTGACCAGACAACAGGAAAAACAAAACAAAACAAAACAAAAAAAACCCTGCAAGAAAGCATTTGCTGCAGCAGGAATGAAGGCCCATCTCAGCCTTGAGGGATGGTAACATCAGCAGGCTGGGCCTGGGCGCCGCCATTCACCCCCAAACAAGGCAATGAACCTCTCCGCTCAGAATTTTCTGGACTACCTCTCATCAGCCCACTTGAATACAACAGAAATACGAGAAGATAAAGATCAGCAAGTGGCCCTGAGTTATAAAAACCGAGCAGGTTGCCCACTGGTAAATTTACATCAGAAAGGTTTCTGAATCCCCAAGTCACTTCCATGCTGAACTAAGTCCCCCCTAATTCTGGGCTAACCTACCACCCACCCAGAACAGAACAAATCGGAATGAAATCTGACCCCAGACAAGACCTGTGACCTCAGCAGGAAAGAGCACTGACCAAGCAGCACACCTGCACTGCAGCTCAGCCTTGGGGCCCTCGCCTTGCAAGAGAAACAAGGGGAGCTGTCCCGGGCCCTGCCAGCCGGGAGTGTGGGTCATGCGATGTGCACCAAGCCAACCCTCTCTGGTGGCCTCTTGCTTGCAATCCCAGGGAACAAGGTGCCAGCCTAGGTCAGGCCTCTGCCGGGCTCACCCCTGGGGACACGGGAGGCATCTTGGTCTCCTGGCCCAGAAAAGGGGGAGATGGTCACAGGTCCCTGGCTGGCTTTCAGAAGATGACGGGTTTTTTGTTTCTGACCAGCCACACACATGCTCAATCAGCCATGGCTACTTAGGTCTGCCTCTCAACCTGAGAATTTGAGGGCAGAAGTTCATGATCCCTGCTTAGCCCAAATACCTGTTGCTTCACTGTCTATGGAAAATGAATTTCTATTTGTATCTATAATATTTTCCTAGACTGAAAAAGCTGGTCCTTTCGTCGTATGGTCTTGGGATAGCACAGGTAATGTATTCACAGTAAATGTTTCATATTGATGGTGTGGAGTTCTGCACTCCACATTTGCACACAAGTTCCTTGAAATAACTGTAGAAAATAGTCAGATGACCTGCTCCCTCCCACCTGGGGAAGCCAACTTTGTCAGCCTGGGAAGTGAGGGGGGAGGAGGAAGAGCTGAATGGGGTGCCCTTTCAAATGCAAACTCTGTGAGAATTCAAGGCGTGTGCTAGTTGATTAGCACCCAATATCCAGGAACAAATCTTAAAGGTTTGTTTTCCTAAGAGTTTAAGTACATGATATTGGGCATTCCCGATGATATAAAACGGGGAAATAAAAGGGGGAGAACCTCTAAGGCAATAGGTAAAGCCACTTTCCTTTATAAAAAAGCTGACAGTCCTGGGAACATCTGGATATTCAATCCAGTTCCGTTTGAACCTTTAGGGAACCAGGGAGGCTGCGCAGGAAGAGGTTCCACAGCGGAGACCATGGAGGGAGAGGCCCTGGGTCCGACAAGGGCTTCGGCGGAATTCAGGACCAGGGCCTGCGTCTGCCACAGCGCCCCCTCCAGGCTCCCACTGCACAGCCCAGGACGCGCCGCGGTGCTCAGGACTGGCCACTGCACACGCGATCGGAACGGTCTGTCCTCTGCCCCGCTCCCGCTCACTTCCCAGACGGGGGCTGGACAGACCTTCTGGGCCAGAGTCATTCTCCCGCTGCCCAGGGAGGAGGGAGCGAGCACTACAGCCCGAGTCCCTTCCCAGGAGGGGCTGGAAAAGAAGCCTGTGGCTCCCACGGTTACTGGAAGGGCCTTGAGCATTCCCCGAAGCAGATGTCACCGTAGCCACTGCTGACCTCCATGCCTTTCGGGGCCAGACAGGAATGATTTCTTATTCTCTGTTAGAAAACGGCGTGAACGGTTAAAAGAGCGGTTTATAGCAACACACAGGGAGGTTAAACCCCATCCTGAGCCCATGCGAAGCCAGCCCTGCCGGCGCCTTCACAGAGCCCCGTGCTGAGCAGGTAAGGGATTAAGAAGCTCTGCTTTCTCCCTGAAGTCAAGGAGGCAGCAGCTGCACTCAATCCTTTCCGACTCTCACTGAGCTTTAGGGTTCATAAAAGGAATTGGGGGGCAGGGGCGGGGGGCCTCTGAAAAGACCCCACACAGTGACTGACTGCAGAGCTCCTTCCGGCTGTAGCAGGGCCCGGGACGGGCTGTGTGGAGAAGCAGGCCGGCCGGGGGAGGCTGAGGGGCCACGATCCTCAGGGCCAGAGGAGCCTCGGCTGGGCTCCCCAGGCCACAGCGAAGGCCAGTGCTGGCCGGGCCGAGGGGCATGGCTCCGGGGAGATGCTCCTGCCCAGCACGGCCCAGGCTCCACTTCAGGGACACGCATGTCTGCACACCCTACACACAGTCCAGTTCCCGTCACACTGGGTTGCACTCAGCTAGATGCGTCTTAAAGATTTAAACTCAGATCTAAGATGCCTCCCCGACCCTGCACACACACACACGCACACACACACACACACACACACACCCATAGCGCAAGGCTCCATCCCATGGTGGCAGGTTGGGGCCAGCAGGCCACAGGGGCCCCTTAGGGGGTACCCACCCCCGAGACCCTCTACCACAAGGTGAGGCCAGCACATCCCTCACTAGGGCTTGGCACCGAACGAGGAAGACACTCCAAGACTGAAACCCAGAGGAAATCTTCGCCAAGTGCGCATCTGGCACCGGAGACATCTCTCAGCTCGCCAGCACGCGCTGGTTACTCCGCGGCGCCGCCCCCGCCCACGGAGCCGCTGGGCAGCCCTCCCTGAGGGAGGAGGGAACGGGGGCCCCGGAGACAACGCTATCCTCGTGGCCAGTGGCTGGAGGCGGCGTGGACAGACATTTCTATTAGAAAGCCAGTCAGTAGGAACTCACTTCAGGGTTGAATGTTGCCAACAAAATGCACACATCCCTCGGCTAACACTTAAAACACAGATCAGACAGTTAAGAACGAGTCCCTCAAGTAACACCTCCTGACATTAATCTCACTACACGCGATGGACTTGGTATTAAAGTCAGACAGACACACACATGGGATGGCCACAGCACACATTTGGTTTCTGAATCCCTGGAGAGGCGGCCTCTCTGGCGTGGCCACGTCTGAGCCGGGAGGCACAGGCCCTCGGGCAGGGACACAGCCACGACCGGGCCCCACGGGCCCAGGGGAAGAGGGACAGTTGGCTCCCGGGGCGGGGGCGGGGGCTGGCAGTCCCTGAAGTGCCCTCCTTTAGACACATGGACTTAGAGACGCCTCTGGGTGTGGGCACAGCACAGCCGGAGGTCCAACCCCTTCCCGACAAGCACACCCAGCGGGAGGGAGGAGCCCGAGCTCCACACGCGTGTCTCCTCGGCGGCCCCGTGGACGGTCTCCATTTGGCATCCGTGTAGCAGCATTTCGGGCACAAGAGCGGGCGGGAGGCAGCCTGGCCACCCGAGATGCCAGGCTGTGGGACGTCGGGAGGAAGTCACCTTGCCTCTTGCCAATGATAAACCATGGGCTTAAAATTCATTAACATTCATTTTGGTGATAAAAATTCCTTAAGAGTGGGAGCAAAATCACATTCCAAGCACATGTTAGACCTTTCGGAGGGAAAGGGACACAGTTAAACATTAACTTAGAGCAACACTGAGCTCGGGGGCGGCTGCAGGTCCCCGTGCAGGCTCCACCCGCAACGTCCCAGACTCCGCAGGTCCGCGCAGCAAGGCTTTCTTCCTTCATCCTTCACGTTCGACAGCGCCACCCACTGGGGCACAGAGGAAGGGGCCCACGGAAGGCCCTGGAGGGGCAAGTCCATCCTACTGGGGTCACATCATGGGGGTCACGGCAGAGTTCAGGCAGGACAACTTAAAACTCTGCAAAAGACATTCTAAAAACATGATCTCTTGAGAAAAAAAAAATCCCAACAATTTTCAACTTCATGCAAATCAGAGGAGGAGGAGAGTGAATAATAAAAGGTACAGCTGAAAAAATAAACATGATTCTATTTGGGTGGAAGTTCATTTCCAAAATCTCAAACACCAAACCCCAGCCCTCATGTCCGCTCCTGCCCTCACCAGCCTCCTCTGCTGCTTCCAGGGAGGGGACAAAGTCTTTGGTCTCAGGATGTTGCAGGACGCAGCATGGCACACAAGCTCACACTAATGGGATTCACTGTCGGGCGAGCAAGGCCACGTGGCCGGGCCCAGGGTGTGGGGGGAAAGACCTAGGGGCGCCCTAGATGGCGCCTTCGTTGTGTAGGCTGTGATTGGCCTTGGTGTGCGTCACACAATTCTGTTCATTGAGCAGGTTGGCCGTCTCGTCTGGCAACCCGTCGTGCAGCTCCGTAAGAGTCAATTCAATTTTAGTGTTTTCACTGTCCGAAGACTGAGGAGTTTTGTCCATCCGGGACGCCATCAAGGCATTTTGGTATTGCTGTCTTGAGATCTGGGGCCGGAAGATGGTACAGAAAACAAACCAAGATAATGCTTAGTTTTAGGCTCTCTTGCCTGGACATCGTGTTACACATTAAGTCCCCGAAAGGCCCCTAAGTTGGGAGAAAGTCATCCTGGAGGACAAACTGAGCCACTTGTCTTTCGATCAGAGAACATTTATTTGCAAAGTCACAGAGGTGGTAGAGGTGAGGAAGTGAGCTGGAGGAGGAATGGGCTCAGGAAACGAGTTACAGAGGCAGGAGGAGGGCCCTTGGAGAGGGAGAGAGGAAGGGAGAGGCAAGGTCCCAGGGCGAGGGGAGGCGGGAGGCACAGGCATGCTCCCAGGAGCCAAGTGGAGCCACTTTTTTTTTTTTTTTTTTTTTTTAAAGTTCAAGTTGACTCTGGTAAGCAAGTCAGTTTTTACTGATTTAAGCCATTTCCAAACTTTATTTCAAAGTTTCCCAAAGATTAAAACGGAGGTAGGCTTCCATCAGCTAAAGCTGGCTTGTCCTCCGAGAGGCGTCTTTACTTCAGACTAAGGAAAGGAGCCTGTCCCAGGGCAGGAGGTGAGTGGAGGGCTCTTCCCACTCCTTCCTGGCCAGTCTTCCGAGTCTCCGACCTCTGCCCTTGTCAGGACCAAGCGAGTCTCTGGAGTCCGAGCCCGTGAAGACTGGTGAGAGGTTGATTCTGTCTCTTAGGTCTCCAGCTCTCAGCCCCTCACACGGCCACATCTGATCTGGCAGCTCATTGGACAGGGAGAGCCAAGGACATGCATGTGTTTCCCCACCTGAGTCCTGGGCACAGTAGCTGGAGGCAGGGCACCCAGAAGGACAGGGGACTCAGTGGAGGGGCTGTGGTGCCAAAAGGCTGGCTGTGGATCTGACCTTGAACTTCCAGGTCCAGCCAAGCGGCTCCCTCTGCTCTTACCTTAACGAACTGGAGATCGGAAAGGGCGCGCACTGAGTAGTCTGGGATGTAGACTTGGAGGAAGGAAGAGTTGAGCTGATTGTTGCTGCTCCCCAGTGAAGGTGTGACGGCATCCATCCGGTCACTTCGACTGAGAGAGTCCGAGTGATTCAAGCCACATGGCCGAGGAGGGGACTTGCTTTCACCTGGAAATGGAGAGAAACAACACCACCCAGCCACTTCCTAAGTGAGGCAGCTACAAGCAATAAAGGCAGCCTGGTATTTCCCAGATAATAAGATGGAAGTCATTAGCAGACAAGCTTAACCCACTCCTGCCTGACGCCGCCCACAGGAGCTCGCTGCTTCTCCATTCGACGGACTCCATGGGGGTCAGCTGCGCAGCCTGTCCGAGGGCGGACCGTCCTCCCATCTCTGCCAGCACAGGCCCTGCAGCACACACCCCGTCAGGACCGAACGCACAACCCAGGGAGGCACAGCCCAAGCCAGAAGCAAAAGCAAAGGACTCTTGAGGATGTTCATGAATCAGAATGTTTTAAAGGGATTACACCCTAACTCCCAGCCAAAGCCATTATCTTTGTCTCTGACTCCAGCAGGCAGTCTGAGATTCTCAACACGAGGAGACAGTAAACCCTTGAGAGGTTTGGTTAAGTTGCTTTAGGTGCTGTGTGATTCTTCAGTGCGACAGACAGGTCAGTACGTCTAAGTGATGTTGCTCTTAAATGCAGGTTTACCACTGCTTTTAACACAGATTTCATTTAAAATAAGACCTGCCCCCTTGCCAGGCCTCTTTCGTGTTTGCTTTTCCAATCTAGCCCACAGCTATGAACTGGTGTCCACACCAGACGGACAGTCCTGAGGTGCACCGTGTCCTAGGACTGGAGGGGACCAGTTCTCCCACCTGAAGGTCAGCTCCTCTTTGCAATGAGTCCTGACAGATGCTCCCACAGAGCAGCTGCCCTCAGCCGGCCCCACCTTCAGCTTCAGCTGACAGTCCCCCCCACTTCACTCTATGGAGCTTTTGTTCCCTGCCCTTAAAAGCTCAAAGACAGTATCTCTTCTTAAATCTCTTCTTCTCAAATACTTCAGCTCATGTGTACCACCCGTCATCCCATCCCGACCACCATCTGAGATTTCATTCATTCGTAAATGTCCTTCCCATAATGACGCCCAGAACAAACATGGCAGCTACCCGAGGAAGTCAAATGAAGAGTTCACTTTCTGCTAAACTTTTCACGTCACCACTTTCCCCACCGCTTCTCACTTTTAGGTCAAAATTAAACTCATAGTGGCAGTTCTTGTTGCTTCCACTTATCTTCTAAGAGAAAATGGCAAATTAAACATTTATCAGATGTTTTCTGTTTAGCAGAACAGAGCTTTGATCAGATGTCCCAACATTGCAAAGCCTTACCTTACCTGCAAAAGGCAGATAATAATGGTACCACCTCCTGGGGCTGATGAAGATGCAAAATAAGATAACGGATGGAGTGCTTAGCGCAGCATCTGACGCCTGGGTAACAGGACTGTGTTCTTTACTGTTAGCTCCTCCCTCTCCACCGCGCCTGCCCTCACGACCAAGCCTTTCCTAATGGTGGTACTTCACCCAGGCTGGCAGACCCCTCGGCTCTTTGAAACAGGAGATGCCACTATACCCCCGAGTTTCTGTCCAAAGTCACGTCACCATTTCTACAGACACCTTCACAATGGTGTTTCCTTCTGTGTGTGACAATCTGAAGGCTATGAAAATGAGATATTTAGAGGACACTTTGCTCTCTGACCAGACGCTGTGTGCTGGCAGGCTGACGCCAGAGGCTGGTGCAGGACTCCAAGCCTCCCGTTACTCTGGCAGATCTAGACTCCCCTCCACCCAGTGCCTGGCCTCACAGCCACCGTCTGGAGCAGCCCTCCCTCAACATGCAATGACATGTATGTATGTCCACTGGAAGGAGAATAAAGACTGTATGGCCTTCCTCCAGTTCAGGTCATGTTTTGTTGCCGAATTTATGTGCCAAGATTTTAGACAATTATGAAAACAACTTTCGACTTAATTCCTCTTTATGTCTTCTCAGAATTGTTTCCTCTCTGCTTTTTGTCTTGCCTTTTAAAATGCACCCTACCTAGACATCCTCTCCGTTTGCTAGTAAGCTAGAGCTACAATAAAGAGACGTTCCCAGCCTCTCCCCTGGAACCCAGCACCTGTGGAAGAGGCTGGGAACACCGGTTTAATCCGCCCATTTCTGAGGAGTCGTGTTCCGGTCCTGCTGGCTTCCCTGAGTCCCGGGCCTGCAAATGCCGCTTTCTGCTACTGCCGCAGGCTGAGTGGGCACAGCTGACAGATCTCAAGTTTTATGGGAAATGTAAAAACATAAAAGACATTTCCATGAGCTTCATCCAAAAGTCATTCCATGTCAGCTTTTGTGGCATTTTAAATAGGTGGCAGATGCCAGCAAATAAAATGAGGGGAAAAATCATGCATACATGTATACTAATGTGCATATATGTATGTGCACATTCATATGTGTGTATGTATAGTCTGCCAAGTGTTTTCATTCAAATAGCCTTATGAGCAAGGCCAGTGTGGCTCGGTGGTTGAACATCGACCCATGATCCAGGAGGGTTCACAGTTCGATTCCCATTCAGGGAACATTTGAGAGTTGTGGGCTTGATCTCCAGTAGGAAGCATGCAGGAGGCAGCTGATGGATGATTCTCTCTCATTGATGTTTCTCTCTCCCCCCCTCTTTCTGAAATCAATAAAATATATATATATTTTTTAAAAGCCTTATGAATTATATATTATCCCCCAAACACCCTAAACTTTTCAAAGCAAAGATCTGAGGGAACATTAGTTTCTAAGACAAGTATTGCCTCCTTTACTAAATACCAGCATTTCAGAGTTTTGCTGAAATTGGCTTATCAAACACAAATTTCAACAGATTTTAAAAATCTAAGCTGTATGAAACAAAATAAAGGCAGAAAAGTTGTACTATTGAATAGGGAAGCCCAGCAATTTTAATTAAAGGAAGATTAAGGCTTGGCCTCCGTTTTTAGCAGCTGGACATGTGAGCCAGGCACAACCAGCCCTCCTGCAGGGCACTTGCCAGCAGCTGGTTAGGAATGTGCAGGGCACTAACTTCAAAACGAAGAGGGGGAGACAGGAGCGGCCGGCCCCCTGCCCGAGGACAGGATGGGGAGACAGGAAAGCTGTGGGTTTGCCACGGAAAGTGGGTCCCTCAAGCGTTGGGCGTGTGTTCTGTGGAAGCGTCCTCGGGCTGTGTGGTCCGTGGGGCTTCGGTCAGAGAAAGAACCAAAGTGGCCGGCGCTGCTCTGCAAACCCCGGGCGGCCAGAACCCCTCTTCCTTCCCGCTCACACATTCACGTTCCCAGATTCCCTGCCAGCGCCCCGGGCCCTTCCTGCACCTGCCGAGGGCGTGTGTGTTCCTGGGAACGGAGTGCTGGAGCTCCAGAAAACCGAGCGGCTTCTCCTTGCGGGGCGGGGCAGGGGCAATCAGAAGAATACGAAAAGGAAACATGCAGAATTACCTGGAGAACCTGCTGCTAACAACTCTGTCCTGCTGACAACAAAGGTACGAGACAGGGACAAAGGAACTGAAAAATGGAGAAAAACAGGGTGAGACCACATCGAAAGGCGGGAAAGAGATCTCTGCAATCGGGACAGGAGTGGATACCGGCCCTACCGATACGAGCCAGTGGTCCCAGCACGGACAGGCCTGGATGACACATGGACACAGAAACAGGACACTCAGCTTTCCGGGAAGAGCACGGGAGGCCGAATGCTGGTCACCCAGAGCTCTCCTGCGCCAGCAGCCACACCCAAGGGGTCATGGCTCAGATCCGGCCCTTCTGACCTAAATCACAGCCAGGGCCCCACCTGTGCCAGCACCTCTGTCACTCCCAGGACGGCCCACAGCATCCCTGACTGTGGCAAGAAGTTAGCTGTTCAATGCACTCACACCCTTAGTTGGTCTGGTTGTAATTCTGACTTGATGCTTTGAACTGCTCTGGAACACTTGAGAGTTCCCAGTGTTAGCGGCAGGTATATAAAGAGCAATGGGCACACACTTCCCGGGCAGGATGGGCATCCTCCTCACGGACTCGGACAGGGAGCCGCAGCCACCTGACCGCGTGCTGGGCAGGAGTCTTAGTTCCTGGGCAGGTTTGTTTTTCAAACTGAGACAGATTTGGCATCTACCTGGGCAGATCCTAGAAACAGATTACTGTAGGGTTTTTCCAGGCAATCAAAATGAATAAACAATATTATCTTGCGATTACTGTACTAATTTGCATCTCTCGAACACACAGAATCCCAAATCCGATTGGCGAAGTCAGGTAAAATCTGGGCTCTGTAATAAGATGCTATTGATGAAACCCCCACCTTTCTGGCATTTCCAAACTAGCAGCAGGCCCGCCAGCTGTCATAGGAAGGCCTGCTCCCAATTCCTCTTCGGAATGGGACCCTCACAGGAAGCCACAGGCCAGTATCAATAAAAAGGCACAATTGACTCCCCACCTTTCTTTTCAAAACTGCCTTATGAGTCCGATTCTGCTCACGTGGGCCCATTTGAGGCTGGTTGCCAAATAGTCACAATGTCAACACCTGTCATTCCAACGCTTCCTTGTGTGCTTTAAAGGTTACGAGGCGAGTAAGCACCACCACGTCGATTCTTTCAACAAGCACACGAGGTAACCTCATATCCTCTTAATGAGGAGGGAGCCAAGAGCCTTTCTCCAAGTCCGGCCACCGAATATGAGGGAGCTGGGCGGTACCGTGGTCTTCTTGGCCGGTAAGCACCTCCCCGTCCTCAGGAGCAGTGAACACAGATCATCTTCGCTCACGGCAGACGCCGCCTAAGGACGTGGGCAATAGGGCTATGTCCACACGGGTGTTCAGCACTGACGTGGGCACCGGCCCACGTGACTCACTGCCCAGCAGAGTGCGAAGATGCATCCGGGCAGGGGAGGCCTGGGGTGAGAGAATTCTTGACGCTTCCCTGGCTTTCTAACCGTAACATCTCAGTGCCTGCGACGTCATCTGGCACAGCTGAGGACCAACATCACAAAAGCAGACTTGTCTGGAAGTATCCCTCCCCTTTTGAGACTGGTTTTCAGAAGTAACTGGTTTTTAGGATGGGCTATAGCAAAAGTTTTCTAGTACAGCCTGTCATTTGACATTTTAGCCACAAGGTGGCAAAACAGCACCTCTGTTTGCCTGTCTGCCCCATTCTACACACTCCCTCTCCCTCTCTCTCTCTCTCTCTCTCTCTCTCTCTCTCTCTCTCTCACACACACACTCACACACACACACACACACACACACACACACACACACACACACACACAGCAATGTCAATAGAGACCCTTCAGGTCCCATCCCAGAGGTGGGCAGGTACCCGTGTCCATGTCCCACTAGGACAGGCGCTGCTTGCTGGCATCTTGTGCAGAGCACTTAATGGCCCATGGCACAGCCACCCAGAACTGGCTGACTCTAGATACGAGCTGGATATATGCAATAAATATATATTAACCACCTCGTTCATCCTCAGGAAAATGCAAACTGAAAAGCCTCCGGAGCAGTTAACACGTAGATGACTCAGCGATGCGCGGTGCAGGGCACGGGAACTTCCCAGGACGGTGAGTGGGACGCTCTGGCAAATCGCTGGGCAGCAGCTACTAAAGCTGAGAGATCCTCATACCCTGTGAGCCCACCACCCAGCCCTACGTACAGACCAACAGGACGCACACACATTCATGGAGAGAGGGCACGAGAGTGTCCACATTTCACAGCCACAGTCGCCCCAAACAAGCAACTACCCCAACGCCCATCAGCAACCGAGAGAACAGACGCAGCTGTGCTCCCGCACACGGAACACCGCACAGCGGTGAGGAGACACGAGGCAGCGCCCCTGCAGTGCAGGGGGAGAGGGGACACTGGGTTACAGCACCAGACTCGGTAAAACTCATCCTGAACTGGCGTGTGTGGTGGCGGCCGAGGTCCTGGGCCAAGGACGTTCTGTCTCTGATCTGGGCTGTTTGCACGTCAGTTTGTGAAAATTCATGTGTGTGTGTGCACTTAGGATGTGTGCAGTTTCTGTGTACGTGGTATACTTCCATAGGAAGTTCAGGAAGGAGATAAACAGGGTTAGCTGCAGGCAGAGAGGAAGGCGACCTAGGAGGACGACGCCATTTCCTGAAACACGGCTCTACCCTCGGGCTGAAGGCCACTCACCTGGGGAGGCCGTGAGGGCCATTACACCGTAATAGGAAAAAGCACTGGCTTCGAACTTCATACCTTCCTTCCCAGCTTCCACTTCCACCTTCCCCTGCGGAGAGAAGAGGGAGGGCTTCAGTCCACTCGCGTGCATCTGCTTGCAAACCCGGGGGAGGCTGGTGCTTCCTGAGGGCCTGTCTAACCCCTTCCCCGCCATCCCAGGAAGTCACCCTCTGATCCTCATCCCCAAGGAGAGGGTCCTTCTACTCAAACATGAAAACTGGGTTTGGCTGGGGACCGAGGCGGCAGTGGAAGTGTGACGTTTAATCTCTCCCGTCCATTCACACCTTCCCAGCACCGGAGGGAGCCCTCCCGCCCCGAGGAGACGATGCTCTTCTCTGTCAGGAGGACAGACCCTGAGAAGACGCTCAGGGCTGGGGCCAGGCTGTCCTGCAGGAGCCACGTCGGAGCAGAGTGAGGGTGAAGGGCCAGCCTGGCTGTGGCCAGGGGACAGAGAGGGTGAGCTGGTGCCCAGGGGCGCTCTGACCAGCACAATCCCTGAGCAAACGCTCAGCCGTCCTGCAGGCCAGGCCCCCCCCCCCCCCCCCCCCCCCCAACGTCCAGATTCCCCAGGGCACCGCGCCCCCTGCTGCCAGAGGCTCCTTAAGGAAGTGTCCTCCCTCAGGACAGCGCCTCTTCTTCCTTGTCTCCCACTTGTCTGCATCTCCTTCGCTCACACCAGTTCCCGGGGACAGACACCCCTCCCGCATCCCTGGGGCAGGAGGGTCCCTGGGCCCTTCGTGGGAGATGCTCCAGGTGCGTTTTCTGGGCGGCTGCAATGCCTGGTGACCCCGGGCTCCCAAACCCCGCTCAGACGGCCTCACTGCCTCTGGGGGCGAGGGGGCCCTCACAGGCACGAACAAAAAGGTACCACTTGCGACCAGGAACTGTGCTAGCCAGTCCGCGCTTTGTTAATTCATCTAGTGCTCCCACCTCGGAGGCACACACAAATCCAGGGTGGGGCTCAGAAAGATTACGTAACCGGAGAACAAGCTCTTAACCTAGATGCGACCTATGCCGCCCCCAAGGCAAACTCTTTTACTTGGTTCACTCCCCATTATTCTAAACTAAATCCCCGATTATGGAGGACTTTCTCAAATCACTTCAGAAAACTACCCTTTGTCTCTCTCTCAGGCTCTCCTTCCCTCAATGGCTGTTAGTTTTACCAACGCCCACTAATTCTCTTGCCATAAGAAATGAATGGAGAGGGTAAGAGGAAGTGCATGGAAAGAGAAAAGGACCAGACTGCATGCATCCTGTGACCAAGGAGGAGGAGAGACAGAAACCAATATGGAAGCAATGGATAAAACAGACAAAAAGTAGAATCAGACAGCTGTGTTACCATAGAAACTAGGGGGGGGGGGAGACCTCGCAAATAAAGGGAGGGTCAGAGTCACAGAGGTGGCAGTCGCTGGCGGCCTTCGGGAGTATCGTCAGGAGGAAGTCAGACAGTGAGGGGCAGGGAGAGCGGGTGGGAGAGAGCACAGGCGCAGGTGAGGAGGGAGGGCCGCCAGGCTCCATTGAAGGTGCCTTAGGGGCAGGGAATCCAGTGCACCAAACTCATTAAACACCTCCGCAAATCCTATTAATCCAGCACTACCACTACTTATAACACCCATGACATCATCAGTTCAGAAAACTCACTGCGTTTGTATAAATATATAACTGCATAGGTACCCCAATGCCGGCACATACACATAAACGCCTTGTCAAAAACATCTGTATGTTAGATGATTTACTTGTAAATGGTCAGGGATTAGAAAGTCCCTCTTCCAAATCTACTTTTGAGACCTGTCAGCCAGATAATGGCTCTCTTATACATCAACAAGGCATCACTGATTCATCAAGACTAACTATTATATATAAAAATGACTACTCAAAGCATCATAGTTTCCACTGTTATCACTGACATCCACAACATCAATCCTCAAAATTACCCTAAATAATCATTTTTAATATAATCCAAAGTTTCTCTAGGGTTAAGGAATACTTACATCTAGCTTTATGAGAAACATAATAATTATTCCCTCACTGCTGTAAATCCCCCACAGCCCCTCAGAATTTCGAGCTTGTCCACTTCCCATAAAAGAAAAATAATTTGAAGTTGAATAAAACTAAGGTTAATAGAAGAATCGGGTTTGAATTCGAAAACCCTTCCAAAAGAAGTTTCTAAGAAAGACTATCAAAGTGGCATGTAACCAGTTAACCCATGGGTTTTTCTACAGTTCCTCACTTCTGCTTCCAGATGCCACAATACTGTCTAAGCACAGGCATGGATACAACACTTCCCCAAGTTTCTGACACAGATATCTGATAAGAGTTCCTTTCAAACAAAGAGAACTTTCTTCATTCACTTAGAAAACTGGGGCCTTGCTGGACTCATGTAAATTTTAGGACCTACCAAGCACTGACTACACTTTTATAATGATATCTCCAATTCATCTCTTAGAACTAAGCAAGAAATATAAGAATGCTTAAGGGGCTAGTATTCTTATATTGAAATAAACTCAAGAATTCCTACAAAGTAATTCTTCAATAAAGAGGTACAAGAAGTGAATAAAACCAGCATTTTTTCCGCTCTAATGTTCATCTTGGTCTCCATGCCAAGGACGGTTCTATTAGGTCATACTGTGATATCATCAGTGTCTCCTGATAACTCAGGCACCAAAGCCCCAAGGAGGGCTCACACTGGCTCGACCTTCCCACCGTACACAGTGGATTATGTTGTAGTGAGAAGGAAACAAGTCACCATTGCCACGAGAGGCGGTGATTATGACATCAGTTACCCTGTAAAATCAGTCTGGTTAGTAATCAGGAATAAAAAAACAACAATAAATGAATTATTTAGACAGTACTAAGGGAAGAGATAGTAAGATATAGCCCTGAAACTAAAAGAACAAATCCTAAGAAGAGGACAGGGAAAAAAGATAGGACCCAAGGAACTCAAGACGCTTGAATTTTAAATGTCCAGCCAAGATTTAGACAAGCACAGGTAATTCCCCAAAGTCTTCAAAACATACTAACAATTGAACTCACCATTCTTCATTTGACTTAGGGCCTCAGCAATCACTGAGTGCCCTTCAGTATTGGAAATTAAAGTAACCAATGACATTGCTTTATATTGGAACTAGTGGCCCGGTGCACGAACTTGTGCACATTGAAAATTAATTAGAAAAATATTTTAATATTACTATTCGCTCTTTCTCTATAATACAAGTGTCAACCAAATTCACAATCAACAATGACAGATGGACACACACACATGCGACTGGCGCCAGTGAGAGATTTATATGTATTGCACATGCTCAAGTCAACTTAGCCTTTTAAAGATATAGAATAAACTTGCTTAATTAGACCTGCTTTCTGACTTAGCTAAACTTTTCCCAGGCCAGTGAAGCACCCCAACTTTTCTTTCAGGTAATTGTCAGCAACACAGCAGTACATATCAACATGAAGCAGATTATTATTGTAGATCATGCAGGGAAAACAAAGGGTAAAATATTAACTGCAGCAATATTTGACTATATTCTGCAAGGTGAGAAAACCTGAAGTCATTTTCAAGATCCACCATTTCTCACTTTTTTTCAGTTGGGTCAAATTAGCTTTCTAAGTCTCTGTTTTCCAGCTAATGAAAAAGAAAATAGGATTCCACCGAATCTCCTATCTACCTACTCCAGGACTTCTGTGAGAATCAAATGAGATGAGGCACAGGAAAATACTTCACAGAGTGTAAAATGTTTGCACCTGGCTATAAAGTAAGCCGTGTTTCTGGGTTGAAGAAACTCCATGGAGGCTAGCTGCTAGGGAGAGGAAGCCAGGCTTTGCTATGTGACATCATTACCCAGCAGAAACTTAGCATATTAGCCATATATATACATACATATATATACACACACACATATATATATGTATATATATATATATCGATATGTATATATCGATATGTATATATATATGTGTGTTTTTTTTTTACAGATATGAAAACAGGGAGATGAAATTTTCCACTTTCATGGCTACCCCAAAAGTATGTAAATTCCAATACCCGTTCATCTAGACCAAATCTCAGAACTTGAAGGGTGGGTACTCAATGAGATCAAACAGCTACTGAATAATTCTCTGACCTGCAAAATGAGAACGAAGTAGTCTACAGGTTTGTTGCGCTGGTAGAGGTAGTATTCTGGGGCTTTCTTGTTCTTCTCATCATACTTCAGTTCTTGGATGACATTGGGGTGCTTTAGCAGCCTTAGAAGGATCTTCTCTGACATCTGGGATGGGCTAAATGCTTCTACTTCTATAGATATAAACACAACTTGACATTACACTTCAAATGGACAGAAAATATTAGACTAGTGATTAAGGTATTTGGGTAATAAGAATACTAGGAATTAAAGTGATACAATATGGATTAACGAGACTTCCATTTGGTGATCCATTGGGGACAGATTACCTGGGAGAAATTAGAAAATGCTGCGTTTTCATATTTGTTTATTTAAAATTCTTCCTTTCAATCTGTCATTGGGTTTAGTTCTCATAAGAACACTCTCATTTTCTGGCTGATACAAATGAAAATCAACCGACAGCAGGCTTCTTGACTGCCAGGATGTCCTTCAACAGCCACAACAGCCTGACTCTCCAACAACAGCCAAAGGAAGAAGCAATGGTCAGGAAGCATCTAGCTGTGGGTTAGTACCAGGTGCACAACACAGGGCCCTGCAGCTCCATCTCCCACTCAACTGCCCTGAGGAAGTCTGGGGACCAGGGACTCGGAGAGACTCAGGATAAAAACAAGGCACGTGCACATATCAACATGCACTCCAACTTGCTAATTTAAAAAAGTTATGTTCATCTCTATTTACAAAGACATTCGTTTTATTTAAAATAAAAGCCAAAATTACCGATTTAAAGCTGCTATACTGAAACTGGACTTGACGGTATCTCAGAGGCAGAGTAGGATAACATTTCATTTTAAATTGTGGTTCTTGGGTGATGAAGAATATCACAATTAGAGAAAGAATAAGCAAGTAAGTTAAAAATACTGCTTATAGGTTTTAAAATGTTTAAATCATGTTATGTATGAAAAATATAAATTCTGTATTAGCTTCTGTGCTTTTTTTTTTTTTAGTAATAACAAGTAATACATGGTAGAAATTTTGGAAAAAGATAAAGAGGACAATAAAAAATGACCTATAAACCAACCACTGTGAGCAACTGGTGATGAGCATTTCCTTCCAGTGCCTCACCTAGGCCTGTGCCTGTGCGTACGTCCAAAACAACAGCTATCACCTTCCTGTACATACAGATCTACACCCTGTTTTTTCCTCACTTTACATTAAATGATGAGTGTTTCCCCAAGTTGTAAATATTATATTGTGAGCATTTCCATTATCTGAAAAACGTGATTTTAAAAAGTGCACAACATCCCCACATGTGGCTGCTGTTGGCCATCTTTTCAAAATAGTCTAAGTGCACTGCCTGCAGCTGGAAAGTGCTGGCTGCCCATCCTGGACAAGACGTCTTCCAGGTCACGGGAAACCTTCTCTCATGGCCCCGGGCCAGCAGAGCTCAGCCTGTACCTACAGAGCCCAGGGTGTGAGAAGGGTGAGCCAGTCTCTTAAGTCCATTCAACCTTGACCTGTATGAAGCAGACAGGCTAGGTTGGTGGTTTTAACCATGTGCACACTTGCCTCCTGGGATGGGGCCAAGTTAATAATCTGATTTGAAGAGGCTGTCAAGAAATCCATGTCAAAGTCCTCAGAATTTCTGATTTCATTTAATCCATTAGAGAAAGAGATTGCATTTTGAAAATCTGTTTTTCTTCTTTGTAAGTCTTAGAACCTGTGTTCTTACTGACATCCTCTGCTCCTCCAAGGCAAGCTGAAGAGAGAGCTACTCAGCTGTCCGACACACAACCAGGTGGTGTCTGGCTCACTGTCAGCCTACTCCGCCCGCTGGCACTCCCAGGGGCTTAGCTGGAAGCAGAGGACCTGGCCTACTGTTCACATGCAGTGTGGCACTGACATTCATCCTTACCTTTCAGACCAATTTAAGTTACTGGTCCACCTGGTAAATGTCTCAGAGTTCATGCCGACACTGAACATAGGAGAGGAGAGAATTTAAAAAGAAAAAAACAAAACTAAAACAAAACACAAACGTGGCATTGCTTTTCACCCCGCTTCCCAGGCTCCGCCCCGGCCCACCCTAGTCAGCGGTGGGTGAGAAACACTGGCTCCAGGGTTGGTCGAGATTTCAAATTGTGATAAGAGGCACTTGCCTGTTGCTAGGAAACGGTGCATAGCCAAGAGGAGCTGTGGTGATATTTTAACCTTCATCTCGCTGTCTGTCTGCTTAAAGGCGGAAAAATCTTGCTTTCTTTCTCGATGGGCTACTTTCTTTTTCGTTCTGTTATCCGCTGAGGTAACAATGAGGAAAAAGTGAGGAAAGGCATTTCGTTAGATCAGGGCCCTTTTTAAATGGAAATAAAATATACTGCAAAGGCTAGAAGAGAGAATGAGTCAACTGTCCAACACACAACTCTCTCCAGCTTGTGGGCATCCTCCGTCCAAACACCACATGGAAAGAGGACAGAAGACTCCTCGTCAAGTCAGTGCTGCGCAGTCAGAACGGCAAATCCTAAGTCAGTAACAGGCAACCTGATTAGTAGCAACGACAAATATACCTCATGGGGATCTGTAGAGCCCTTACAGGTACATTATTGGGAGCCCTGAACAAAACCCCTCCCCTCATAACCCATAGCAACCGAGGAGGTGGCCCGGAGTGTCCACACTCCGGAGGTGGCTCCTGTGTCCTGCACAGTGAAGAACGATCACTGTCACAGGTGACACGAAGGAAGTGTGTCCCTGCCTTTGGCAGGCTCCTCGCCTGTGCTGAGAGGTAAAACAAATACCGGAGCACGATCTCTTAAGAAGCAAACCAAAACGCTTCCATAGAACGTCACTGTAACAGTAACATCGGTAGCCCTGGCCAGCGTGGCCCGTTACTTGAGCATTGTCCTGTGCACTGAAAGGTCAGTGGTTCCATTCCCAGACAGGGTGTGTGCGGCAAGCAACTGATGTTTCTCTCTCACATCAATGTGTTTTCGTTTTCTTGTTTTGTTTTAAGAAGAGAAACTTTATTATTATTTTTACATATTTATTGATTTTTTATTTATTTATTTTTTACAGAGAGGAAGGGAGAGGGACAGAGTTAGAAACATTGGTGAGAGAGAAACATTGATCAGCTGCCTCTTGCACACCTCCTACTGGGGATGTGCCCACAACCAACGTACACGCCCTTGACCGGAATCGAACCTGGGACCCTTCAGTCCACAGTCCGATGCTCTATCCACTGAGCCAAATCAGTCAGGGCACATCAATGTGTTTTGTTTTAAAATATATTTTATTGATTTTTTTACAGAGAGGAAGGGAGAGGAAGAGAGAGTTAGAGTGTGCAGTAGCTGCCTCCTGCATACCCCTTACTGGGATGTGCCCGCATCCAAGGTACATGCTCTTGGCAGGAATCAAACCTTAGCCGACGCTCTATCCACTGAGCAAAACCAGTTAGGGCACATCAATGTTTTTCTCTCTTTCTCTCTCTATTCCCCTCTCTCTAAAAAAAAAAAAAAAAAAAAAAAAATCAATAGGAACATTTTTTAAAAAGTAGCATGTTAGCTTCATTTCTACCAAATCACAAGATCCTCAAGGTCAAGCAAAAATGAAGAAAGTGATCCAGAACAGAAGTTAACCGACTTCCTCTGTAAAGGACTAAACGGTAAATATTTCAGGCTCTGAAGATCATGTAGTCTCTGTTGCAACTACTAAACTTTGCTGTTTAGCAAAAGCTGCCATATTGAATGAATTAGACGGTGTTCCAATAAAACTTTATCACAGACATGATATTTTATTTTCATATCATTTTCATGTCACAAAATAATTATTCTTTTTATTTTTTAACACAATTTTGAAATTCGTAGCTTGTGAGATACACGAAAACAGGTAACAGGCACTTGTGGACTGTAGTTTGCCAACCCCTGATCTAGAAGGTCTAAGGCAAACCTGTCTTCAAGTATTTTCCTGGACAAAATAATAACCAAGAAAAACACTAGATTAAAGACAAGGCCCTGAGTGCTTGCTCCTTTCCCCCAAATCCAAAGTCTTTGCACTACCATTTAATGTCTAGGGTGAAGCAAATGGCTTACTAGGCTTGTTTTGGGGAGAAAAAGATCACAACTTACAATGTTCTTCTATCTGACATTCAGAGAATCAGACAGTATAAATCAACACAAAGATTTAAAATAATGTTCAAATGACAAAAGTTATCATCTCTGATCACTTATTTAACCAATATACACGAAACCACGTTTCAGCATTTCATATCAGTAAGTTACATTTACAATACTTTAGTATGAAATCAGTCTAACCAACGTTCGAAAGAAATTCACTCAACTACAAATATAAGGTCTCATAAATGTCTAAATTACCTTTCTTATGATGAGTACTAACCCTGGGGAAACACATAAATATACAAATACACACTTGGTATTAAATAGTAATTGTGAGGAGCAATGGAAAAAAAATGTAGGCACACATGACAATATTCTGTATCATGTGATCTCTGACTCTCTCCAAGTGTCAAAACCACATAGACACTTGAGTGTTTTAAGAACACTATAGACATGTGAGGGGAAATAAGATACTTTTCAGAAGCAGGTCACTGGCTAATTATAAAACCTATTCTTTTAAAGGGTACATGGAAAACTTTCTCAATTTTAAAATAAGGGACATTCAGTTCTAGTGGAACTACATAAAATCACTTTGCCCGGAGTGCCTCAGGCCATTTGAATGATCTGTTCCAATATTGTTTCAATAAACCAACCGGCGCCCGGCTCTTTATCCCACCTGTGAGACCCCAAACATCTCAGGCCTTGGGACACCTTTGGCATTATGGAGCTTTGCCAAAATGAAGCTGAAGAAGGTTTAAGCTGCCCAGTCAGACGATCCAGTTGTACTCACATAGGACAGGATTCAGGTTCAACACTCAGCCAGGATCCAGCCTATTCCTGGGCAAGCAGTGTGCATACTCCCTTCCACTTCCCTGGCTCATGCTACTCCCCTCCCACCCCCAAAGGGGCAGAGAAGCAGAAAAAGAAAGGGAAAAACACACTTTATTGTGCACCCCACCCTGTCCTGCCTCCTCTACCCCATCTGACCACCGCTGCCCCCAGCAAAACCACACTTGCAAACTTCACCTTTACTTTCATCTATCAGAACTAGAAAATTTAAACCATTGCTATCCATCAATTTAATAAATCCCCTCACTTTTTAAGTACTTGAATTATGACCTTAAGTAGAAACAGAAATTTGCTTGAAAACAATTTACCTAATCGAGCAAAATGAATTTTCTGGACAGGGCAAGAAAATGCTCAGATCAATGGTGAGGAGCAGCCGGCTTTTCAAAAAGAAAGAAAGAAAACCACATTGCCACTCGACATTATAGGACCTGCCCTGCTTGCCCCCCTCTGGTAAAGAGACTGGATACACCAGCAGGTCGCACACAGCCTGCACACACAGCACATAACTGGAAACAGGCGAACAACAACTGGAGAGATGCCAAATGACTCACCAACAACATGATCAGGAAAGCAAAGGTTTGGGGAAATTGCTCTCAGGCAAAACTACTCACTGTATAAGTCTGTTTCATCCAGGATCTCTGATTTGATGATTTCTTCAATCACATCTTCTAAAGTGACAATCCCCAGGACTTCATAAAATGGATCCCCCTCTCCTTCATTGTTAACACGCTGCACAATAGCCAGGTGAGATTTACCTTTGAAGAAAAGAAAGCAAAGGTTAAGAGGCAATTTTCTGAATTTCCTGAATCAAGTGTTAGGTATGATTATGGGGGGGGAAAGAACAGCAGCAAACACAGATACCAGATGATCAGAGTGTGCAGTTCAACACTTAAAAATGCATTAAATACCCCAAGCAAAAACAGATGGTGAGACATCAAAAGCAAGACCAGGTAAGCCTGAATATCACCTTCTACACACACTGCCCTGCCCCCACATGGCCACTGAGTTCTTAATAGAATTGTCTTCAGTGACGGCAGCTCTTCCTCTGTGACCTTTTGGCAATTGGCACTTTACTTTAGGAGAGCAGTTCCTAAAGCGAGCTCCGGGACCCCTAAGGATGCCCAAGCCCATTTTATAGGCGATCTGCCAAGGCAAATGGTTGGCATTTTGAACCAATGGTGCCTGAGCACAAATCAAGGCAGTGGTGACAAAAATGTACTAGTTCTACGGGGTTCTCTACCACCATGGACAGTAATGGGGGGGGGGGGGGGGCGTTTGCATTTCTCTTAAGAATATCCTTAATAAAGCAGTAAGTGTTTTAATTCCATTAAATCTTGGCCCCAAGGACCTGTCTTTGAATATTCTATGTGACAAAAGGGAAGGGCATGAAACGTGTGTGCTGCCTTCAGAAGTGTGATGGCGTCTTGAGGGAAAGCACTTGCACAATTGGTTCTGGCCACTCTTCACTGAACAGCACTGACTTGAAAGAATGACTGCTAGACAGACCTCGGTGTTTAGCTTATTGGGCAGACACTTTCCTAAAAGTGAACAAAAGGAGCCCATTGCCGAAACCTATTTGGCTCAGTGGATAGAGCATCGGCTTGCGGACTGACAGGTCCAGGTTCGATTCCGGACAAGGGCACATCCCCAGAAGGGGGGGTGCAAGAGGAAGCTGATCGATGTTTCTCTCTCATCGATGTTTCTAACTCTCTATCCCTCTCTCTTTCTTTCTGTAAAAAAAAAAATCAATAAAAAATATATATTTTTAAAAATGAGCCCGTTACATTCAGGAAAACAGCAGCAGCCTTTGCTGCCCAGGACGCCACAGGCAATGCTCACCTTTGCGCCTGGTTATCCGGGCGGCGTCCCCAGCTTTCTGCCCTCTAAAGGCACTCACTCTAGTTTCTGTGTTTTGGAAGCAGGTCCAGCTTAACCTCAGGGAGAAGGGAGAATTAAACTACTTCCTGGAGTGGGCAAGGACCTAAATATATTATCCATAATTCTTCTCCAAGGAAGATTGCAGACCAAAGGATTTTAATCCAACTGCGCCCAAGGTCCACTTATGGGGTTTTGGTGTAGTATCAAGAGAATACCCAGGATTATAAAAAAAGGCTGTAGATGAAAGTAGAGGTGAGGTTTGCAAGTGTGGTTTTGCTGGGGGCAGTGGTGGTGAGGTGGGGTATAGGAGGCTGGACAGGGTGGGGCACACATAAAATGGTTTTCCCTTTCTTTTTCTGCTTCTCTGCCTCTTTTTGGGAGCAGGGGAGAGGGGTAGCCTGGATCAGGGGAGGGGGAGGGGAGTATTCACACTGCTTGCCTAGGAGTAGGCTAGATCCAGAGCTGAGTGCTAAACCTTTTCCAGATACACATCTGTTTGAGCCCAGATTTTCTTCATATACTTCAACTATTCAATAAAAACAGTTGTACTGCACCAACTGAATGCAGAAAAAGTCCAGCTGCTTTCCACTTAGCTAGATAATAAAGATCTACAAAAAAAAAAAAAAAAAAAAAAAAAAAAGGTAAAACAATAACACTTAATACTCTTATTTTGGAAAATAGTGATTTTAAGTTCAGTATTATTTATGTTAACATGAAATGGGTTTGTTATTGTCCATTCAAGTTAATTAAGAATGTTTTCAATTTCTCAGGTTTTCTTTTTGTTTATTGATTTTAGAGAGAGAGGATGGGAGGGAGGGAGAGAGAAACATCAATCTGTTGTTCAACTTATTTATGCATCATTGATTGATTCTTGTATGTGCCCTGACTGGACATCAAACCCACAACCTGGGCTTATAGGATGATGCTAACCCACTGAGCGACCTGGCCAGGACCTCAGGTTGAATATCAACCAACAGGGAAGAACACATGCTCTGAAGTCAAACCGAACCGTCCTGGGTTTGAACTCCAGCACTGCCAGTTAATTAGCCACTACTGGCTGTGTGGTCACAAGCAAACTACGTAACTTTCCTGAGCCTCAGTCTTCTCGCGTCCAAAAGCGGGCTCAGAATCACTGCTGCCCAAGAGACTATAGTGAATTATCATCAGAGATAATGTGGGTAGGGAGAGCAAAGACAGTGCCTGGGATCCCAGAGGTGATCAATATGGAACAACTCCTATTCATTTTTTAATGTTCTTCCTCAAGTCTAAGGCACCATCAACTGATTGTTGGCTTAGTCAGAGGGAAGGAAAAACTCACTACATTATATGTGCACCGTGATTAAAAGATGCACTTCAATATCAAAAAGATCTTTTAAAATATTAAACACATTTTTCACACCAATATTGGTGTTTCCAGTTCAGGGCATGTGAAGCATCTGAAATATATCCTAAATTAAGCCACGTAGACATAGTATAGAAATTCCATGATCAGTTAACACATATATTGTTGTGTGTGTGTGTGTGTGTGTGTGTGTGTGTGTGTGTGTTTGTGTGTGTGTGTGTTTTAATCACAGGAAGGGGCTTTTGGGGGGCTAGGATGGAGGAGCAGTCCCTGAAATAAAGTTTACTTAAAAGTAGGAGTCAATCAGGTTCCCTTGGACACAGCCACCGACACTAAAATGTTCCCTAAGGCCAGGTCTGCTCACGTTCCCAGCAGCGCTCATTCAGAAACTGCCTTGGGCTCTGCAGGTTGGCTGGCCTTTCCTGCTTTGGCTCATACCCCTTGAGAGGCAACCAGGCTTGGAAGCCTAGAAGGTTAGATGGTTAGACAATTAGGCATCCTAACAATTTTCATCCTTAGCGTGCTCACGCTCAAAGAATGAAAATACTTCCAGCAAATGAGACTAGGGGGAAAAAACTTATCAGCAATAGATATAAACACCGCATCAGGGTCAAGTCCATTCCAGTCTAGTAAATTCAGTCTGGTGAGTTTCTCACATCTGCTTTCCCAAGAACCCAAACATAAGCAGTTAAAAATTCTTGGTCAGTGCTGTCTGTCGAAAGTTAAATTCTTTTGCTATTCCCAGCTTGTGATCATTTAAAAGGAATTTTCCAAAGCAAGGTCTAATATTAGACTCAAAATGAAGTTTCCATTCCACTGAGGCGCTATTCTCACCAAAGTAACTACTGCATAATCAGATTGTCTTGGAGCAATTCGTTTAAATGCAGATGGACATACTTGGAATACCAGCTCTATAGCACCAGCGGATCGGACTGGAGAAATGTTTCATGTGAGTCAGGCTTCTTACACGGAAAATTACATTTTCTTAGGGGCTCCCTCTCACACCCCACCTTCAATGCTGAAACTTTTGCATCTGCCCAGAGCCACATTCTTTTAGCTTTTGAATTCCTGGTGAGAAGTCCTGTTTTCTGAACTTTCTTGCTGGTAAGCAGTAAAAAAAAAAAAAAAAAAAAAAAAAGTGACCACCCTCTTCTCTAATCATGCTGTAGGAGGCTAGCAATACAATGCACCTATCACCCGCCACTTAATCATTTGCTGCAGGAGTTCCATCTTCTCATCAATGGAACAATCAACAGGGAGATGTAAGCAAGTTGCCAATACAGAAATTTAAAAACCTGAGTTCCAAAAGCATCATTCTTAACCTGAGCATTGGAGGGATTTGGCAGGATAGAAAGCAGAAAAGCAATTTTGGGGAACTTAACAAAAGACTCAACCAAAAACTAGAAAAGATAATGAACTGGTGGGTTCTTAACTTCCAAAGAGAAGAATGGAAATATAGCAATCAGGACAATATGCAATTATAGGTGCTAAATAACACAAACTTTTAAATATATGTAAATTAAACAAACTTGTTAAACTGTGTATAGAACAAATGAAGCGGGCATTGCTGGCACAATCAGGCTTTGGAGAGAGCCTTCTTGGCCAGCTGTGAGCGCTCCTGAGCATTCCGGTCACCTCACGCTGTCCTAGGAATAGAGGAAGAGAGATCACCGAGAAAATCAAAGCAGGCCTGTGTTCAGAGCACAGGGCTCTATGGATACATTGCCATTCAAATTCAGCATGAAATGATCGCCTAGGCCAGTGGTCAGCAAACTCATTAGTAGTCAACAGAGCCAAATACCAACGGTACAACGATTAAAATTTCTTTGGAGAGCCAAATGTTTTTAACTTAAACTTCTTCTAACACCACTTCTTCAAAATAGACTCGCCCAGGCCGTGGTATTTTGTGGAAGAGCCACACTCCAGGGGCCAAAGAGCCGCATGTGGCTTGCGAGCCAGTTTGCTGACCCTGGGCCTAGACTGATCATTTTTCTAAAACTGCTGTGCTCACGGCAGGGCACTTAAAAAGATGAAGTTAGAAGAACATGTCTTCATTGTCAGATGAACTAAGTGTCTAAAATTATATATACATAGTAGAGATGGGATCAAATTTCTGTCTCGGCCAGCTCCCCAAATCAAAGTTCATTTGCATATCCTCTCTGGATTGGTAAAGCAGCCCAGAATGGCAGCAGATTGGCACATGTGCATCTTTTAACCTTACAGCAGAGGCTCAAATTCTGAATAAAAGACACCATTTGGATGCTCATGGATTAATCCACTGGGTGGGCTGACAAAGCACCTGTAACCGCCTGTGGAAAACATGGACTCATTTGCATCCACACGTTTCATGCCAATGAAGTGAAGTGGAACAGTAAGCGGACTAATAGAAATAGCCAAAGAAGCCAAAACTGGTTTGGCTCAGTGGATAGAGCGTCGGCCTGCAGACTGAAAGGTCCCAGGTTCGATTCTGGTCAAGGGCACGTACCTTGGTTGTGGGCACATCCCCAGTAGGGGTTGTGCAAGAGGCAGCTGATTGATGATTCTCTCTCATCGATGTTTCTAACTCTCTATCCCTCTCTCTTCCTCTCTGTAAAAAAAAAATCAATAAAATAAAAAATAAAATAAAAAAAGAAAGAAATAGCCAAAGAAGAAAGCCAAGAGGGCAGATGAAGAAGAATGGAATTAGGAACGACATGACACAGCTGTAGTCAGAAAGAGCCAATAATGTGAGCACAAGACAAATAAGAGTCCGTGGGGCCGTAAAATGCCCCTCAAACAGCAGGAAGAAAATACACAGGAGATTCCATAATGAGAAATTCAAGCGAAACATTTCGTAGTCACGTGTTGCACAACTGACTGCTGTGTTGCACAACTGCAGGGCGACCAGTAGTGGAGTGCAAGGGTTTACGGACCTCTGGAAGTTGTGTGATGCCCCTCACTCACCAAGGTAGGTCAAACACACTTGACATGTCTTTGTTTCTAAAGTAGTCCCAATTTAGTTAACAAAAAATCTAATGTTTCAATAAGTAGAATCCTCAAGTCCCAAAGAAGGAGTTCAGTTCCTAATCATTAAGTTCCTAAGAGGGAAGTCGTGATAAAAGAAGGAAATGCTCTATGATGAAATGGAATGAAGGGTATATTTCAATGGCCATATTTAAGATCTCCCAAAGAAACCAGTTTGCATATTAGTAGTTAAGGAAGTGGAACACTTTAAATAGAATTAGATATAGTCCAATTTATAAAAAGTAAACAAACATATCAAGTGAGATCCTGTATATAAACACAATTTATAATCCATAAAATACAAACAATTGTGTGTGTGCATGGGGGGGTATATGACATGACAAGCCTGACAAGCTCAGTGAACAAAAGTAACCACACATGCCGAAACCGGTTTGGCTCAGTGGATAGAGCGTCGGCCTGCAGACTGAAGGGTCCCAGGTCCGATTCCAGTCAAGGGCATGTACCTTGGTTGCGGGCATATCCCCAGTAGGGGGTATGCAAGAGGCAGCTGATCTATGACTCTCTCTCATTGATGTTCCTAACTCTCTATCTCTCTCCCTTCCTCTCTGTAAAAAATCAATAAAATATATTTAAAAAAGTAACCACACAGGATGGACTGATCACTAATCCCTAACTAGGAAGGCCATGGTGGAGAGTCCCATCCCAGGCCTACAGCTTCATTAGCAAAGGCTGGTCTTTACTTTAAGTGAGCCCACTGTTCTTCTGCATCTAGGATAATATACCTTTGAGACATCAAAGTAATTTTCTTTTCTAGATCCCTTTGTAGGCACCAGAGCAAGAGACCATGGAACCCATCATTGCTATCTTGTTCTCCACACACCATCTCTAATGCTATCAATGTAATTATTACTTATCCTACAAGGCTTTCCTATAGGCTGGACTTTCTTTCATTCAACTGTAGACACACAAATTCACTCATTCTCTCAAATATTTACAGAATGCCCACTTTTTAACAGGGAACAAGACCAAACACTAGCCCACAAGGAATATTCTAGTGGGGAGACACACATTAAAGTAAACAGACACTAAAAATATGCTAGACTGTGTAAAATGTGCTGTGGAGAATGCACCAGCAGGGGCAGAATTACATTTAATAATAAAGTGACATCTGAGCAAAGATGAAGGACGCAACGGAGCCAAATGAAGCACATAAATTACTGGGTGGGATGTTTCAGACAGAGGAAACAGAAAGAGCAAGGAGGCCAGTGTGGCTGGAACAGAGAGAGCGAGAGGGAACATGGTACAGGTGAGGTATATAGGGTGTGGGGAGGCTGACACGGATGGTGTGCAGATCCTGTAACTGTTACAAAGACTTCAGCTTTTACTCTGGGTGAGAAGTCACTGGAAGAAGGTTCTAAGCAGAAGAGTGATCTGCTCTCTCGCCGCTGTGGGGAGAAAAGGCTTGGCAACTGGTGAAAAGTCGAGGGAAAGGGAAATCAGTTGTTATTCCAGTAAACTAAGTGGGAGAACAGTGGCTTAGACTAGTGGAATAGTGTAGGTGATAGACCTACTGAGATTCTGGATATATATTTAGATAGGGCCAGCCGGTTCTGCAGATGGGCTGAAGGTGGGGCAAAAGATAAAGAGAAGAGTTGGGGCTGGCTATAAGGTTTTTGGCTTGAACAACGGGAAGGACAGTGTTGCCATTTACTGAGGATTGTGGAAGATGCTTGCTTAGAAGGAAAAAGCTCAGTTGCAGATAGGTTAAACGTGGGATGCCAAATAGACACCCTAGTGGAAATGTCAAATAGACACTTACACACCTAAATACAGGATTTGAGAGAATGAGAGAAATGTGGGCTTCAGCCCTTACCGGTTTAGCTCAGTGGATAGAGTGTTGGCCTGCAGACTGAAGGGTTCCAGATTCGATTCTGGCCAAGGGCATGTACCTTGGTTACAGGCACATCCCCAGCAGGTAGTGTGCAGGAAGCAGCTGATCAATGTTTCTAACTCTCTATCCCTTTCCCTTCCTCTCTGTAAAAAAAAAAAAAAAAAAAAAAAAAAAAAAAAATCAATAAAAAATATATTTAAAAAACAAAAAGAAATGCGGGCTACAGATGAAAACTGCCCAAAAATCAATTAAATCTCCTCAGATGTGGGTGTGGTCAAAAGGGTCTAAGCACTGAGCCTGGGCCAATGTCTCCTTCGTTAGGAAGTTGAGATATAACCAGAAAGACGGAGAAGGAACGGCCAATGGGATAAGGAGAGAATGGTGTGCTAGAAGCCAAGGCAAAAACACAAAACAAAAAACCCACAAACAAACAAAACAAAAAACACCAAACTACTTCAAGAAGAAGTTCAAAGTATCAAATGTAGAAAAAAGGTCATGAAAGGAGTCTTGGGTGACAAAAGATGCAAGAAGAGAAAGATTGAGGTGAAGAATTTAAGGGTCATCATTGAAGTGCCATGCCCTAGTCCCTGTCCAGCATGATTTCTGCTACAGCCCTTCCTGCTTCTCACAGGGAGGCACAGCTGGCCTGCTCTGCCAGGCAATCTGAGCCAGGGAGAAAGGCCTGTCATTAGGACAGAGTTTGGCTTGTTCTCTCCAAAGCAACACCTCCCTCTCCGAGTACTGAGCTCTGGAAATGACACATAGATTTCCGATCACCCATGCTTAAAACTAAAATCTTTGTTGCTTCTCTCCCTCAGTGTTTTCTTCCTTTTTAATGAAGAATGAACACACACATACACACGCAGTATGAAGTACACCTGGGGAACCGCCACCCAGGAAGGACTACATAACAATGGACCACAGGGTGAATGAGCAGGAGGTTGGAGGGGCCAGCAACAGGGAATGAGGAACCAAGAGTGGTAAGAGATGTGGTTCAAGGTGAATACAGGTCTACCTGCGGCCTCTCCTCTCCCCAACCCATTCTGTTTGTCGAAAGCAGGTCCTTAAAGGATGGGGAGAGCACATGGTGATCCAGCAACATGTCTCATGGTGACTAAGTGGCAATACAACCTCAGAAGGGAGCAATTCTCCTATTCTTTCTAGCCATATCTGGACTATTGTGCTCAGGTCTGTATTTTATGACACAAACTGAGGAGAGAATGACCAAGACCCTTAGGATGTACAATATAAGGAACAAATAAAGAGGACACAGACATTCAGCTCGAAGAGAAACCTGGACAAGGAGGAAATGATAGTAGCCTTCAAATCTGACATGGAAAGCAATCACTTGGTTCTCAGGCCTCCTCACCCAACAATTTATTACCTGCACACCTGTACTGAACTTACCGCAGGTACATGTCCTCCCTGATTAGATCATGAACTCCTTGGTGACCACTCCCAGCCCCCAAGTCTAGCACAACGCCTAACACTCCAGTCTTGTTCCTAGTCCTAAATACCAAAGGAAAACTTACTAAACCACAACATTCTCATAAGCACTCAGAAGTTCTCATTTCCTATCAACAAGTGAATTAAGGAAAAACTTCTTAAAGGCCATCAGAACCTGACACCCAAATACACCATCCTCTCATCCTTCAGTCTTTATGTGCCTCTCTCATGGTTTCACTGTCCAATCAATCAAATGACTTGATGTTCCCCAATCATAACTTCTAAAGTTTTACTCAACCCCATAGAAGAGGTAGGAAGGAGCTTCTGTGAGCGGTGTGTGTGTGTGTGTGTGTGTGTGTGTGTGTAAAAAACCTCCATACCCAGACCCTTCACTCACCTCCCTAACCCAACCCACTGCCACTGCCACATCTGAGCTGTGGGAGTGCCCACATCTCTACATCCACATTACTCTAACAGTAGGTAGGTCCTGCCCTGACCAGGTGGCTCAGTTGGTTGGAGCGTCATCCCATACATCATCAAGGTTGTGGGTTTGATTCCCGGTCAGGGCACATACCTAGGTAGCAGGCTTGATCCCACAGAGCACACAGAAGGCAGCCAATCGATTCCCCCGCCCCCACTTTCTCTCCCTCTCTCAGATCAATTTTTTAAAAAGTCATTAAAAAAATAGTAAGACAGGTCCTTACTCTATCCATTTCCCTCTCAATTCAACAGATACAAAATAAAAAATAAATAAGCCCTGTATTATAAGCCACACTACACAAACACAAAGCCATTTTCTCACAGTCTGGTAATGCATTCTCACACATGCCTGCAGGTCTTCTAATATAGTGACAGACCTAGTATTATAGCCTGCGAACAATGGCTGCATTTGCTTAAGGAGAAACACTACAATGTAATTCAGGGACCTATCCTCTTACTATTTCTGTACTGTTTAAAGCTAAAATGAAAACAACAAACTTCATCGTGTTTTTTTTTTTAAGTACTTATTTTACCTTACCATCCCCACCAGAGCTAAATGCATTTTTTCCAATTGAATTTTCCCACCATAAAATAGACCAGAAAAATGTGACACAGATCTTAAAATAGTCCTATAAAAACAATACATGAGTATATATATAGAAGCACTTGCTGTATATAGAAGTTACTGGTTTTAAGTGATGATAACAGTTGCTATTCTGGGAGATAAAAGGCCCCTTTTACCAAAAGGTTTACAATTTCCAAAAACTCCAATGGCCAACCAGTAAGTGGCTGCCCCAAGTCTGCCTAAGAGAACAGCTCCTCCACTCCAGGCACGTGGGAGTCAGCTCAGCCATGGACATCCTCTCTCCGTTAGATCCTGTCCGCCAGGAGGTTTACTAGGAGAGGATTTGGACTCATGGTTTCCTAAAAAATTAAGTTTTTTGGTAAGAGTAGCAATTTCTTTATAGATATTTCTTTAGAGGGTAAAACCCTGAATTTATTAATTGTGTAAATCATAATAGCTTTTAGGGAACAGGCCTGCTAGTCACTAGCCCCTCACACTCTGAAAGCTCAGCCTCTAAAGGACTTTATTTTTTTTAGCAGCTGCCTTCCCCCAAGGTGACTGCAAGGTCCTGGGCACAGTGCAGGGAGCCGGGTCTACCAGGCCCAGCTCAATGCTGCACCTGGAGGCAGTCTCTCCTTCTGTCTCAGGCTTGCTTCTACGTATTTGCTATAAATACCTGTTTCTTAACATTTAAAGTGAGTTTGTTTCCACTTTCCCATTCGTTACTGAAGTTTCTTATTCTATATCCCAAAAACAGAAATACCTGAAGGAAAGTATTAATCTGACAATTAATATTTAAAAGAATTATGTTCGTGGCTATCTTTAAAAATGTTATATTACTGCCCTGGCCAGGTAGCTCAGTTGGTTAAAGCGTCGTCCCAATAGGCCAAGGCTGCAGTTTTGATATCCGGTCAGGGCACATGGAAGAATCAACCAATGAATGCATAAATAAGTGGGGGGAAACTTCTCTCTCAAAACATTTTAATGTTGTTATTGACTGGTGGAAATTCACTTTTCCATAAAAAGCTCTCATGCAATAAGATCAGAAATATTACACACAGAGAAAATCCAACCCATGTGGTTCTCAGATTTTGACAGCTGCATCTGTGGAGACTCAGAGAAGGTATGGCTGCCTTCAATGACATCAACATTTACATGTTAGGAATTATATTCAAGTGTGAAGTACATTAAAACTACAGGTACCTGCTTGACTCATGTAGGCACACAAATATTTACTGAGTAAATCCAAAAATTTACCTAAATCTTTTCAACCTGTTTTTATTTTCAATCTATACCATTTTCTGGGCTAAAATTTGCCTCCTCCACATTATTTTTGAATTTATAACCATAACTTCTCTCAGTTATCATTAGAGTGAAGATACTATCTTCTTATAGTATGCCCAATATTTCATCTAAGAATTTAGCCTTGATTTTTACAAAACACTTTTATATTAAGCACTACACTCACCTGTCAGGCATCCTTTCTTCCAGTCCTCAAACACTGATCCCAGCACAGTGCTAGTACATAGAGATGTCCACCTCCTTAAGAAAACATGCTTGTGTGTGTGTGTGTGTGTGTTTAAAAAAACACATGAATTAGAAAATAATTTATATTATGAAAAGATTCTTAGATTTACAAAATGGAACATTTTTAAATTAGAGTTTTTGTTTTGAGATAACTGTACATTCTTAGGCAGTTGTAAGAAGTAACAGAAAGATCTGGTGTACTTTTACCCAGTTTCCCCTACATGGTAGCATCTCTAGCAGATACTGACACTGACGCTGCTGCAGAACCAAACTCCCATCCCCACAAGGATCTCTGACGTTGCCCTTTTAGAGCCACAAATACTTCCTCTGCCCTCCAAAACAGATCACTTTAATAATTTCTCTGGTGAAACGCATGCTTAGTTTTCTGCTGGCAATGGCTCTTAGCTTTAGCTTTTAAGTTTGAAAAGCTCACAAAATGGCAACCAATGGGAAAACACTTTAATCAACAAAAACTTATTCTACATGGAAGACTGAAAACTCAAAAATGGGGTCCAATCCTGGCAAGGCTAGAGAACCAGGCTTCCCGGCTGAGACACCCAGGCAGGTTGTTGCCTGACTGAGTGCTCAGGCAGCACTGTTTTTGGAGAGCAGCAGAGACCACACCGTGACTTAGTAAATGTCTGCAGAGAGACGTCTGAGGCAGTGTAATTTTCCAGGCGGCTCCTCTGGCTTCTCATAATGTGGTGGATTTCTTGTTGTTGGTGTTAATGGAAAAGTATCCTTGGGTGAGGATTTTTTTTTTTTTTTTTTTTTAACAGAGAGAGAGAGTGGAAGGGAGGGGAGAGACACACAGAGAGAAACATAGATGTGAGAGACATATCGATTAATTGTCTGCCACACATGCCCCAGCTGGGGTTAGGGATTGAGTCTGCAACCAAGGTACACGCCTTTGACTGGAATTGAACCTTCGACTCTTCAGTCCACAGAATGTTGCTCTATCCACTGAGCCAAACCAGGCTGTGTGATGGATTTTTGATGGAATTTGGGTAGGTAACAGTCTCCAGTAATTAAACACTAATCTAGGTGCTGCTGTGAAGGGATTTTGCAGGTACAAAGTCCCTAATTGATTAACCTTAAATAAGGATATCTTGGGTGGGACTGACTTATAATCAGCTGGAAGGCCTTTAAAAATGAATTTATTGGGGGACATTGGTTAATAAAATTATATAGGTTTCTAGAATACATCATCTGTGTTCACCATCCCACGTCACGTCTCCTTCCAACTCTGAGGAAGAGACGTTCTACCTGACCATGCAGACCATGTCTTGGGGTTCCAGCCTAATTAGGATCTTCCCTCCTGACAGCCTGCCATAGAGACTTTGGACTTTTAGATTACAATTACATACATAAGCCTGTTCCTTACGATAAATCCCTTAATGAGTGTTGTGTGTGTGTCCGTCCTCTATTGGTTTTGCTTTTGAACAATGACTGACAGACAAAAAGGGACTCAGAAAGCAGATACCACGAGAAAATTAGGGTTAGATTACGTTTTCATTTCCCAAACTCAAGACAATGAATGTCTATGAAGACAAGCTAATGTATGTATACTGTGCCAGAGACCCGCTCAATAAACTTCCTTGTAGGAATAGCAAATAATCGTTTGGAACAAAAAAGAAAAACTAACCTAGACTAAACTGTGGCTGGATTTAAAAGACAAGAAGTCAAATTATTCACTTCAATGCATCCAAGTGTCCTACCCTATTAAAGACAGCCCTGTGGTTCTCCCACCCAGGTCAGGATTCCAGACCAACAAACAGTGGATGGCCTCCTCCCTCCCTCCCCTCCACTACCAGCTTGTTCTCTGTCTTACTTCCTCAGTCCTGCTGTCAGATACCTCAGCCAGAAACCCAGTGAGTCAATTCACAGAAGATTCCAGTTGTTCTGTGACTTGCTTCATGTCCCATCCAAGTGACTTGTGAGAAAATCTTGTGAACCAAAGAGCAGACACTGAAGAGTTTTTTCCATTATTCCTTTCTCCCAGAGTATTTAAAGACTCGAATTTTCCCATCTTTTGGAGAAATATTTTCTTATAAATAGTGAGGCATGCCGGGCATCTCCACTTCATCTTTTTTAGTGGTCTGTAACACTCACTGTACACCCCTTGGAATGTTTTCCTAGTAAACGATCAGCAATGGAAAACATAGCTAAGACAAAAGATGGCTGAGATGATGGGAACCTTCTCATCTTTCCCAAGAGACAGGTAGTTCTTCTATAGAACTGTGGGGTTTATTTTAGAACCGATGAGTCTATTTTTGTCTTTCCTTTAGACTTGTAGCCTTTGTAAGGATGGAAGACTGACTATACTGATGAGGTAATAGTCCAACAGATTAGTAACAGCCCAACATATCCAGTAATAGATTTTAAACAGAGAGGTATACTTCTGCTGTTATGATTAAAGATCAGTCTTTTCATTTTATAATTTTCTCTTCTATTCCTTCCTCATGTCTTAGTTTTTGGACCAACAATCATTTAGAACTTTGTTTTGCAATCCAAAGCTCTTAATTTCAACTAGACTAATTTCTTGGATGATTTCTACAACACAAGTAGACAGGCTGGTGGTTACACAAAATCACACATAAAAACACAGTCCTATTATGAGAGCCACAGTGAACAGTCATTACTGAAGTCTAGGTCAGCGTTTTTCAACCGCTGTTCCACGGCATACTAGTGTGCCGCGAGATGTTGCCTGGTGTGCCATAGGTGCAGACAAGACAAGAATTTTATAATTTTTCACTATTTTGTTTACTTAATATTTCATAATAAAGTAATTATAAAATACTTTCTTTGTGTTTATTTGATTCCTATTCAAGAGAATTACTTTATATATAGTCAATATAGGCACAGAGTTAAATTTTTTAACATTTTCTAATGGTGGTGTGCCTCGTGATTTTTTTCATGAAACAAGTGTGCCTTTGCCCAAAAAAGGTTGAAAAACACTGGTCTAGGTGATGTGATCAAACCACACCATACATTTGCTTTAGGAGAAGGCATTTTTATTTTTGTAACTCTCACCTGGGAATATATTTTTTTTAATTTTTTGAGGGGGGTGGAGGGAGAGAGAGAAACATCCAATGGCTGCCTCCCATTCACGTCATAACCAGGGAATCAAACCCGCCACCTTTTGGTGTCTGAGCAGATGCTCCAACCAACTGAGCCACCTGGCCAGGGCAGGAGCAGGCATTTTAAGAAGGGTGAGGTCATCAGTTCCTTTTAAACTAGCTTAAAGGAGAAACTAAGGGCTGGTTTGTTAAAAGAAACCAACTCGAATCTCCTCTTTTCACGAAGTCCTTCCTAATGACTTCAAGTTGGAATGAGCATGCAGAAATGTTGATATATATTATGATAAAGTTAACAATAATATATTATTACATAATATATTATTATATAATTAATAATCATGTGATATGAGGAAAAAGGGCTATCAAAATTATTAAAAGTCACTGAGTCCTAGAGCTGGAGAGAAAATTTAAAGTTATCTAGTTCAAATTCTTATCCAATATATTAATCACACCTTTAATTTTTCTGCAAACAAGAAACTTAAAAAAAATTAATTTGAGGTTTCGCTCATTGTCCCAAGATAAGAGTCCTAGCACTTTACTCGTCTATTTCCTGTCCTAGAAACAGAAGAGTCAATACTCCATTATCATTGTAGAGGAGAAAAGATGCAGTCGGATAATTTTACAAAGCAAACATCCTCTATAACAAATTCCTTCACAATTCCTCCTCACCTTCCCATTATCAACATCCCCCCTCACCCCCCACACACCAGTATCTCTGAAAAAATGTGTAGGAAATAAAAGGCAAGTTTTTCTATTTCTATGAGGGGGAAAAAAATCACCACCTAAATGTCCACCAATAGACAGACGCTGGTTAAATGAGTTCTAGTACAGCCACACAATGGTAGCATACAATGGTATACTGAGTTGCGTTTAAGAAGAATCAAAGATCTCACAGTCTTTTGAAAAATTTCCATATTTTCATAAATATCACCCAAATATAGTAAGAAAAATACCAGAATAATAAACATAATATGATCACATTTGTGTAATTGTATACACAAACATTTCGGGAGAAATTAACAGTAGTATGTTGGCTGCAGTTTACAGTATAAGTCTGTGTCTTACAGAGTAATTCTATTTGTGTGCTTCTCATCAAAAAGGAAAAAAGAATGAAGATTTATAATTGTATAAATCTTATAAGTGAAGATTTATAACTGTATGTAATCTTCACCAGAGAGTGTTTACTTTGACTAGAAATGAATGGGTAGAATCTCTGTTAACATTAGACGCCTCCCTCTTAAGCGCCATCGCAAAACCCTCCAAGCCCCGTGGCTCCCTCCTTCCACCACCGCAGTGACCCATCCACACCAGCTGGGACTGGGTTCTGCCCTGCGATCAGTGCAAGCAGACGGCCAGCCACGGCAGCTCCATGTGCTTCTCACTTCTGCCTGGAGACTGCTCCCCAAACCACTCTGTAGTTATGGGTATGCAATCCAGAAATGGGGATATGTTAGGAACTAGTGTGCCCAGTGGACAGTCTGAGAGCGCCTGGGAAGGCTCCGGGAAAGGCCCTGGGTCAGATAGAACGCCTGTGGCCCTCAGCTGGCGCTATTTCCAATGTGCTCTCACCTCCTGGCATTTCTTTCCCCCCTTCCCATTTCACTTCCCTTTGTCCTCAACTCCTGCTGCCTGGAGTCCCATTCCAAATACACTTCTTTACACAGTCTGTCTGTCTGTCTGTCTGTATCAGGCTGCCCTTCAGGCTAAGATAAAATTCGATGAGTGTAAAGTGTTTCTGCCTATCAGTTTCTGGCTTTGTACATTTCACCCTCCTCCATTTCCATGATTCCAGTGCCAGATATGTTTCTATCTCAACATGCGGCTGATCCTGCACTTTTGTGCCACAGTCCTGAGTAAGCTGGCACAGTGGGCATTTCTCAACAGCATTACCTCACTGGATGGCCAGCAATAACTCTCCATTGAAGCGACTGCAAACCCAAATTAAATGTATCCCCAGCTCACTTACCACAGCTGATTCCCAAAAATCACCTGGGATCACTTCACCTCACCAGACACAATGGTGAGAGTAATTTGAAGTGGCAAGAGAGCAATTTTGACCAATTGTATAAAACATCTGGATTTTGCAATTTTAAAAAAACATAACCATGTAGACACATTTGTGAGGGCCCTTGCCAAGGCCCATGCATGTGGAGCACTTAAGCTTAAACTTCATTAGCTTTATGGTAAGTCTGTTTTTCACTACGTACTAATCAAGTAACTATAACATAAGCAGGCATTAACACATAGAATGGAAACTCTCAAATCTGTATACCAGAACCATCCCTAGCCCAATATTTTTTCCTAAACTTTAGATTCAAAAATATCCCAATTGTCTACTTGGTCCTCTTTACTGTCCCACCAGCATCTCCAGATCAACACATCCCAAACTGTATCATCTTCTTTACCAAACCTGCCCCTCCACTCTGCTCCTCTTGCTGCCTAATGGCACCAGTACATCAAGTGTGAAGGTCAGAGTCAACTTAGATTCCTCCTTTCCTCTAGGTTCACCCTGCTTTGACAAACTGGTTCCAAATCACTGTGTTAAGTTTTAAATTTAAGACTACCTCCTAAATGTCTATTGAATCTCTCCCATGTTCTCCATCTCCATGACCAGCTCACCTTAGATACATGTCTCCGTTATTTCTCTTCTGAACTGCAACAACATTCTCCTTCTAACTCTGGCAATTTCTTCAAAGACATCTCACAGATGCCATAGTAATCTTTCTATGAAGCAAATCTGAACACGTTAGTCCTACTTGAAATTTTTTCATGGCTTTCGATTACCTACGATAGTCTAAATGCCTCGGTATGGCCTGCAATGCCCATCGTGACATGATCTGAAGCTCCTTCTCCAGCTTCATCTCCCGTGTCTGCCCATTTCGTGCCATACCATTTGCCATTCTCCAATCTAGATACACCATTTCTTGGTTCCCTCTGTCAAGAACACTTCCTCCCCTTGGCTCCTTTACTCTTATTCTTCCTCAAAGATGCAATTCAAGTATCCTCTTATCCTAATGGCCTCATCTATGCCAGCTGCGCTTGGAAGTCCCATAGAGCCTTCACTAGCTCCATCGGAGCATGTTATTCTGTATTATCATGTGTTCTCTCCTCTACTATACTGTGAGGTTCTTGAAGGCAAGAGTTCTCTTTCATATCTAAAACCTAAAGCAGGCACAGTGCCTGGTATAGAATACTCTCAATAAGTGCTGAATAAATAGCTCAAATTAATCATAAGAAAATAGGAAGGAGGATGAAGTTTAGGAAAAATGATATTATCTCTGCAAGCTCTTATCACAAGACATTGTTTTTCTTCCTGGGACACAATGCAATAAATGAAGCCAATCAGCAACTGCCGGTCATCTGTAATTTTAGCAACCGTTTCCCAGACGAGTGGCCAATTGTTACCTAAGCTAAGGCCTCGTACATAAAAGACTCTAATTTCTTATTTAATTTAATTGTACTGATTTTATTATTTTTACTCCTATTGGCACCAAATTCTAGAAAGGTTACAATAGAGTTTGTCTCCAGATGAAGCCAGCTTGAAAAACAAGTAGAAATCAAACTGTGCTCCTTCCTGTTGAGCTTGAGAATATCTTTAAAGAATTTTCATTGTCTTCTTAAATATACAACATGAATTCAGCCTGAAAACTGAGACTCAGATATTTAAATACGATAGCTTGTCAAGTAAAAAAAAAAAAAAAAAAATTCATTTAGCTTACTGAATGAGTGAATGTTTAAAAAAATGCAACATTCTTTTGCTTATTACATAAACATAGGTTTAGAAGTATAGCTGCCCCTCAGTAAAAATAACATGTCTTAAGGTTTCTGGGAGAAGGTACTTCAACTGTCTACTGGTTCCTGACATTACATTCAGAAGATCTAGGTCATCCTTGGTCACTGATCCCTCACCAAAGTCACAATTTTTAGCATTCAAATATGTGTGATGGGACCCTAGAGCATACTGTCAGGGCTTAAGGGCTTAAACTAAAAGTAGGTGGGTTTGGATCTTTTGGATCTGCTACATATTAGCTGTGTGACCGAGAACAAGTCATTTACCCTCTCTGGCCTCTCACTTTAATCATCTGTAAAACAGAGGTAAGTCCTAAGGTTACTATTTAAAAAATGAATGGTCTGGCTGGCATGGCTCAGTGGTTAAACATTGACCTATGAACAGGAGGTCATGGTTCCAGTCCCAGTCAGGGCACATGCCTGGGGTTTCAGGACTGATCCCCAGTAGAGGGTGTGCAGGAGACAGCCGATCAATGATTTTTTGTCATCATTGATGTTTCTATCTCTCTTTCCATTCCCCTTCCTCTCAGAAATCAATAAAATAAAAATAAAAAATGAATGAAAAAATGTGGAATTTAACAAAGTGCTTAGCATATACTAACCAATAAATGATAATGATTATCTTATTGATGAAGTTTGTCCTGGTTCTGGAAGTTAAAAATAATCTCAACTGTACACGTATAATACCTTTTAATATCTATAGAAACAGGATCTTGAGATCATTAGGATTATTCAGCTATAAGTAGCTTCTTTCAGAATATAGGTTATAGACTTCTATCAAAGAGCATAATTTTTATCACGGAGCATTCAATCCTATGTAGACTTGTTTTCTTTTAAGTTCTTCAGTATAGCAACTCTACAAATTGTTCACTCTCTCAAAACCAAAATTTTGCGGCTAGGTGGATCAAATGGATTATGGAGGTTGTCCTCCCTCCCCTCTCACCTCTAGAAGTAGTTGCTCCCGCTTACTGGATGAGGCAGTGGGGAGGGCGGCCCATGAAGGAAGCTTGTACAGCCACTGCCTTTGTCATATTTCCTCTGTGAAGAAACAGAAGACTTCAGTTCCTGGGATTGATTAAGCTCTAGAATAGAGAACTAAGGATCTATTTTGTATTTTCCTAGGACTCTCTTCTCTCTTTTGTGATAAGTGTCATTGCAGAAAAACTTACATTTTTGCATTTTTGTCAGGAAAGTGGGAAGATAATAAACACAGGTAGCTTGCAATGCACAATAAATTGAAGGAAGATGGCACAAAGCAGAGAAAGACTCAAAGACTAGGAGAATGGGAAGAAAAACCAATGAAAGAATAAGTTATATGCAATGATCATACAAACCCTGACGTTTGCAAAGATATTGTGAAGATTATAAGATCAGAATTCACTTGAGGTCAATATGGTCTCCTCTGGTGCTGGTCATGGATTCATTCAACAGATATTTTCACTGGGCACTCACTGTATGCTAAGTACTGTACTAAACACTAAAGATTACAACAAAAACATAAAAATAAGACTAGTCTTTACTGTCAAGGAACTGGGAGTCAAGTGGGGAAGACAAGGCAAGTAAATTGCAATAAGATGACCTTTTAAGTGACCTCCATGTACCAACATGCTGGTTCACCACACACTCCACTCTCCCTGTAAAACAATGACTGAGGCCCCCAACACACTAAATGCCTTAGGCAAGTAGGCTGCTCTCTAGTCCTCTGCGTACTCCCATAGAAGAAGTAGAAGGTTTACTAACAATTGGTTGTTTTTGTTCCCTAACCTTTTCCTAATATCGTTACTTGATGCTGCAATTATGTAATTTAAATATTATAGAAACTGATGAGACTAAAGAGTTGTTGTTTCTGTGGAAACTGATGAATTCTCTGGAAAGAATCCGTAAAAGCAAGTTGCTTAAGAAAAACTGATGCTGAATTAGCAGTGGGCAAAAGAATTACGAAGGAAAAATACAGGAAGATGCCTCACTAGTATTGCTTCAAAATGCTTTATATTGCTTATTCCATTTAAAAAGAAAACTTAATTCAGAGAAGATTTAGAAGAGCTAGAGAAGATATATTTTGAGTGTGATTCACACACCACTATAGGAAACACCAACCTGCAAATCTACACTCAGAGAAAATATCTTGGCCCTATATCAGAAGAATGCCAATATCACTTTGCAACGCCTCTTGAGATAAATTGATTCAGGCAAAGAACCTTAATGGCTGCTGAAACCATTAGGGGAAAGGTTGATCGCATCAAGGACATTCACATGGTGCCAAAGTACCACTCCACAGATTACTGTGAAAATACACGAGAGGGGAAACACATACTTACAATAGGGACAATCGGCAGTCACCATCTTAACCAAGTTATCAAATTTAACATCATTAATGGTGGACAACCAGCAACGTGAGTATGTACTCTGAAGTATATCTCATCCTCTATAAAGTATTCTTGCCAAAAAATGTTGAATCAAGAATTTGAATCTAATTTTCAGTGTATAGGAAATATAGGAGATAGAGAAATTGAAATGACATAATGAGATCACTGCCTCGATTTAACTGACTACAATTCTAGCTATTAAGTCATGTGTTAATGTGATAAATGACAGGAGCAAAGATAAAAGGACCAATAAAAATAAGACCTCGGAATTTATACAGGGAAAAAAAATGTTATTTCTTACAATGATTTTTACTTTATGAGTTTCTCAAGATCCAAACTGTACTAATTTTGTCATGATTGGATAGTAACATTTGATCAAAATCTAGACCCCAGATCTAGAATTACAGAGATTCTATACAGAATTTTGTATTCCCCTCAATAAATTTAATCTAGCACAGTTTACCGCAGCATTAATTACTTTAACTTTTTTCAACCACCAAACTTGTTTCTGAATTAAACAATTATACAGTCTTAACCCATTCAATGCAAGGGCGCCCTTCTTATTTTCCATTGCTCTTGGATTTTCTAGCAGTGTGGTCTCATTTGGGTTAATTAACAGAACTCTAGATGGAAAATTTTCCTGGTAGGTTGTTCCATTCAGAGCCATTTAGAAAGCACTGCTTGCGTCAGACTCTTGTTTTCTGCTTGGATAAGGGGGCTGTTACTGTAAACCCCAATTTTTTTGGCATCCCACGGTCACACTTCACCGAGTGTACCCCGTGCTTGCCTTCTACTAATGACCTTTCAGAGCAAAACTTTATCTAACTCACCGAGTTAGGAGACTTCCCTTCCCTTAGAGCACAACTTACATCCACACAGCCTACAATTCCATGAACAGACCCCGCATGACTGCAGTCATAGTAATAATCCACAATTACCGCAGGCCTGTGTGTGCCAGGCCCTGTATCTGTATATAACAATTATCCAAGAGGAGACTATCAATTCCACTTTATATATCACAAAACTGAAACCTAAAAATGCTAACATTCCCTGGGCTTCTGTCCTCCCTTCAAACCTTAGGAGCTTACTCAAATGTTTTCTTTTACAGAATAGAGGGCCTTATGAATTACTGTCCATATTTTATAAAGAACTTGAATATCGCCCTGGCCAGTGTGGCTCAGTTGGTTGGGTGTTGTCCCCACACACCTAAAGGTTGTTGGTTCAATCCTCGTCAGGGTACATGGTCCAGTAGCAGCTCAATCCCCAGCAGCTAATCAATGTTCCACTTTCACATCAATGTTTCTCTCTCTCTCCCCCTGCCCCTCGCCCCCCACCTGTCTCTTGCCCTCTCCCTCTTAAACAATAAAAAATATTTTTTAAATGAAAATAAAAGCTTTGTAAATTATTTTGTGCTATCATCTGTTTCGCATTTATCCTAATCTGTGGTTGCCTTTTAACAGTTAATTGGTTGTCAATCTTTTTCTTCATAAATTCTGGATTTTGCATAAGCTTCGAATGACCATTCCCAATTGAGAATATAGAAGTGTATTCTACAGTTGATCCATTTTGAATTGGCTCTGGCCAACAGATTTGCATATTCTGGATATTCAACAGTTTTATGTAGTTTGCAGATTACAAGTGGCCACCTACTTCTTTTGAAATGTCCCATATACCCATGAATTCTAAAATTCTAACACATGTTCATCAAAACGTTAGTGTGCCACATTCATTTTTTTTCATGATTTTAAAAAATTTAGTTTTCATATTCTACCCTCACTCTTTAACATTTATATTTCCAAATGGGACTACTTATATTTTAGTCCATGTCATCCTCAACTGAATCATGTTTTTCCGGTATTACTGCACCCAAAAGTTAGACCAACACTTCAGATATAGCAATATGTTATTAATGCATGACTATGATGGTGCCCATTAGGTTTCAGATTCCTTCTAAACAAGCCTAATATTTTATCCACCAAACTACACGGAACCATTATTTTGAGCATATAATTTAAAATAAATCTTAACTTAAAAATTAAAAAAAATCTTAACTTTAATTCCACTGACAAAAAGTATATACTTCACATTTTTGTCAAGATTTCAATTGCTCAAGTAGACACATATATTCTTAAACATTATCAATGATACCTAGGAAATTATAACAAATTTCTCATATATTGCTGGTGGAAGTGTTAACTACTTTAACTGCATTGGAGGACAAGTTGGCCAAATCTATCAAACCTACAAACCCAGATTTCCCTTGATTCGGCAAGTCTTACTAGTAGGAATTTACAAGGTAAACTTACAAAAGTATTAAAATGTATGAAAAAGGAAAGCCTCTGTTATGTTGTTAATAATAGTAAAATGTTTGGAAACACTTAAATATCCATTAATAAGAGACTGGTTAAATCAATTATGCTAAATCCATACAATAAATATAATACAGCCGTAAAAAAATAATGAGAATTTTTTAATGTACCAATATGAAATTATCTAAGATACATTGAGAAAAGCAAAACATAAAAATATGCATATAACATGTATAACATGCCATCATATGTAAAAAGGAGAAAATACACATTTTATTTGTGCATTTCTGGACGGATATACAAGAATTAATAACACTGGTTGCAAAACAAAACAAAACACTTGGTTGCCTCCAAGGAGAGAGCACAAATAGAATAAGTTGTGGTATACTCACAAAACAGAGTACTACTCAGCAATGAAAAGGAACACTGTAATTGCAACTCACAAATTTAATGTGGTGCAAAACAAGCAGAAAAATACATCCTGTGTGTTTCCTTTTACATAAAGTACAAAAGCAGAAGAAACGTGAACCTTCATGGGACATGGGCGCATTATCCCCTCCTGGTGACTGTTTCTCGAATGCATAGTTTTACATGGATGGGAAAACTCACCAAGCTGCATACTCACATTCTGCATGTACACCATACTTTAAAAGTTCACTAGGAAGTACTGGGAGGTTAAAAGTGGATCAACTATACAGTATGAATTATATCTCAATGAATCTGTTATTTTTAAAAGAATGTCCTAGAAAGAAAATATACCAAAATCCTAAAAATAGTCATCTGTGGGAGATAAGATTTATAATGCTTATTTTCCTTTGTTTACTCTTCTGAGTTTCTCATTCTTTCTTTATACGAAGGTCAGTAATTAAAAAAAAAAATTACTACAAATTTTTGTGGAGGAAAACTGGGAGATTATACCTAGTGGTAACCTACCAAGGGTTTCAGAGAAACTTCTGAATGATACTGGAAACCATTCAAAAACTAAGTAAATTCTTCTTATAGCTCAATAAAAACGTTTTAATTCTAAAAGCTAATTTATGGCTTCTTTACATACAAAACAAAGTAAACAAAATTTTTATTCTATCAATTACCATAATATGTCTCATTTTCAAAAAGTTCCTAAAGAGAATATGAACCTAGCTAGCTTAGGTAGAGAAAATACAAACAAAATTTGTTTGGGAGGAAAAATTTTTTTTACAGGAACATATATTAATTACTCTTATATCGTTAAGCTATACATATCTTTTCATGTCAATTATTTTTATCTCTACCTTACCCCACTTAAAAAAAAAAAAACTGCTATGAGATATAATGCACATACCATGCATTTCACCCATTTAAAGTATAGACTCCAATAGGTGTTAGTATATTCACATAGTTGCACAACCATCATCACTATCTAATTCCAGAACTTTCATCACCCCAAAAAGAAACCCATACAATCAGCAGTCACTCCCGTTTCTCCCAACCACTTACCCCCGACGTTAGGCAAGAACTAATTTACTTTCTGTCCCTATAGATTTGTGTATTCTGGATATTCAACAGGTTTATGTAGTTTGAAGATTACAAATTTTACAGTTCTTTTAAATTTATTTCTGAATATTTTGTTCAGTTGTAAATAAAACTGTTTTCTTAATTGACTGTCGGATTGTTCGGTATAAAAGTATAAAATACAAGTGATTCCCTTGTACCCTCCCTTCCATATGGTGAAACTCATTAATTCTGAAGTATTATAGTGGATTACTTAGGCACCCAGTCATCTGCAAATATAGTTTTACTTCCTTTTCAATCTGGGTGCCTATCTCATCCGTTTTTTAAA